TGGACTCCTGAAGAAGACGAATCTCATTAGATCTTGTCTCTCTAATTGTGTTTTGATTTAGTTTATATGGTTGCAGGTGTTGCGTCCCTTTTGTATTATGTTCTGTTGCGTTGTTTTAATTCTATTGCTGGAGGTGTATTTAGAAATAAGGTGATTCGATTGTGACTTTGGATGAGGTTTTATGAGCTTAAGGTGTTTGTTGTAATGGTGAATATCACCATAGGAGGATATTCCGTGTTATCTTTTGTATTGGGTATTATTATTAATAAACTTTGAGGTACTCTTTTCTTCCTTCCAATGTTCGTTAACATACTTCTTAGTATGTGAATGAATACGAAGAAAGTTTTTAATGAGACCTCCAACTTCTATAAAAAAAAAAACTAGGTCGGACTGCTTTTCCGGTCAGTATTGTGATTCAGTGCATGAATAATCCGAGCGAAGAACATTTAGAAGTTGTGTATGGAATTCTGAGATATTTAAAAACTACTTCGAGACATGGTTTAATTTTCAAAAAACATGAATTTCTTAGATTCTAGCTGGGCTAGAGAACTAACAGAAAGGAGATCGACTTCGGGATATTGTTCTTTCGTATGGGAAAATTTGGTGACATGGAGAAGCAAGAAACAAGCCGTAGTTTCTAGGAGTAAATGTTGAAGCATAGTTTCAGACAATAGCACTCAGGATCTGTGAAGGTGTTTGGTTACAAAGGCTTTTAATGGAATTGGAGGTATGTAACATCTACTACTTTGAACTTCAGAGTGACAGTCGGCCAGCCATAAGCATTGCTAAGAATCTGGTACATCACGATTGAACGAAACATGTGGATATCTATCGACAAACACTTTATTGCCGAGAAAGTAAATGGTGGAACAATAAGGCTAAACTATGTCTCTTCAAAAAATCAGCTAGCAGATATCCTGACCAAAGCACTTCCAAGGGTGACTTTCGACGAGATCACATCCAACATGAGTTTTTATAATATATACTCCCCAAGTTGAAGGGGAGCGTGAGTTATGTTACATATAGGAGATTACTTTGAAAATATTATTCTAACTCTAGCCCTAATTGTAGATAGAGATAATTTTAACTTAGCTAGAACTCTTACCTTAGATAGGACTTAGTAAACTCTTGTATAAAATCCTATTGTAACCATCAAAGTAAAGCACGTGAATGAAACTTATTCTTTCTTCTCCAGTAAATAAGCTTTCTACAAAAGCTTTTTGTGATGAATAACTAGTTATAGATTAACTTAGGGTTTCCTTATGCATAATCCCTGCTATTTTCCTGAAAAGATGTGCCTCTAAGATGAAAATGATTGAGGTCATCCATAAGTTTAATTGTAATTTTAAAGGAAGAATGATACTTCTGGTTCTCAAATATTCTGTTGAACAAGAGCCTTTTCATTTTTGAAAATTTCAAAAGATTTTAAAAAAGAAAAGAAGACGACATAGCTATCCTTTTTGTTAATCTTGATTACTTATGAACCATTTTTGTTTCTTTGAGCAGGTCAGAGTTAGTGCTTTGCTATGCTTAGGAGAGTTTGTTAACACACTTGATAAAAAAGCTGTGCTGGATGTCTTGCAAACTATTCAACGCTGCACAGCTGTTGATCATTCTGCTCCAACCCTTATGTCTACCCTAGCGGTTTCAAACTCAATTCTCAAGCAGGTAACAATAAACTGGCTTTTTGTTGTTTCAGTTGTTTTCCATTGTATATCGGGACCTCAAGGGGGCCATACAACTCATTATCTGTCTTTTCCATTCATCCTGCTTAGTATGGGATCGAATTCGCTGCAGAGCACATCCTCCCTCTACTCATACCTCTTCTTACAGCCCAACAGTTGAATGTTCAGCAGTTTGCCAAATATATGCTCTTTGTTAAGGATATTCTCAGGTATAGATGTTATTGTTGTGCTTGTTGAATTCCCTAAACCAATTTCTCTGTACACCTGCGCGATTTCTAGTAAAAGATGAATTCTTTCTTCCGTCTCTTTCTCACTCACTGATGCGATTCCTTATTTTGTATCAACTCAGAAAGATAGAAGAAAAGCGAGGGGTTACTTTAACTGATTCTGGAATGCCAGAGGTCAAACATGCTGCTGCTTCTACCACCAATGGGCTTCCATCTCAAGCCTTGGGCAAAGCTAATGGAACCGTGGCTTTTGCAAAAAGCAGCCCAGCATGGGATGAAGATTGGGTTCCTACTACTGGAGCAGCTGCCAATGTCAATAATACTGCCCGACAGCCTTCCAAGAATGATTCATCTGTTCACTCGATTTTGGGTGATAAGTCGATTCAATCAGCACCCGGACAATCTCAGTCTTCCTTGATATCTGCTGTATCCAGCCAGCAAACATCTAATTCTTGTCCTGCGGTTGACATTGAGTGGCCTCCTCGACCAACTTCAGGTGTTACTGCAGAGTCAGGCAATGGCGAGAAGCAATTAAATGCAGGAACATCATTGCCATCAAATTTTGAAGATATAAATCCTTTTGCCAACTGGCCTCCACGGTCTAGTACCTCCTCAAATGATTCTGGAACCTTTAGTAATGGTAGCATGGGGCCAGGCATGAACAATTATGGATTCAGTTCTATTGCAAGCACCACGAACTACCAAACCGACAACAGCAATAGTTGGATGTTTGGCAACCAAAACTCCGGGAGTTCAACCTTGAATGTGAATGGTGGAGGTCCCCAGAATAGCATTGGATTCATGAAACAGAACCAGCGGGTTTCAGCTTCAATGAGTTCTTCATACGATAACCAGAAACCAGCAGCAGATATTGGATCTATATTTGGTTCTAGTAAGAACAAGCAGACAGCTCCAAGACTTGCTCCGCCACCTTCAACAGCTGTGAGCAGAGGAAGAGGCAGGGGGAGGGGCGGTAGTTCAGGTTCAAAGACATCCTACGGCAAAGCAACGTCAGAACAGCCTCCTCTTTTGGATTTACTTTGATAGGTGGGGCGACTCTTTTCACCAACACGAAGATTGAGATTTTTGATACATCTGCCAATCCATCCATCCATCCATCCCAAGTTGTGAGCTCAAAGCTGTTGGTTTGAAAGTAAATTTAATCATCTCGGAATGAGAGTCGTCATGTGGATGGGCATTATTTTTAACGTATACCATAGCTTTGTTACGAGATCCATGTAACAGGGTGCGTGTTTGTATGTGATAAAATTTGTATTCCCCCCCCCCCCCGATTACTGTTGCTTGTCTGTTTCTGGACATCTACGTCCCACATGCATACTGTAATTGCTGAAACATTTAGGTGATTTGATTGATTGGGTAAACAAAAAACTAATAAAGGAAGTCGATACATTTGGCGTTAAAGAGGGAAAGTTTGTCATGATATTTTGATGGATATTGAAAATTGCAATTATATTTTTATTTTGGGAAAAGTCCACATTGCTCATTTGTCGCTAATTATTGATTAATGGAATGATTAATTGTCTTCAGAATGAAAATTAGATATAAGATGGAATTATGTTTTGGCAATTTCAAAGTCAAGAATAAGGATCACTCTTCCATTTAACATGTCTTGTTTTAGCGGAAGGAATCAAATATTGTGATGAGATATTTTGAATCCGTGAAGTGAACAAGAAGCAAACCATAAAGGAGTGTCTGATAATGAAATTGGGCTTGGAACAGGGACACGTCCCCATGCGCACCACACCCCATGGCATGTATTAATTATTATCGGAAGCAATCCCCAAAGGATCTCTCACGCCTCCTTTATTAACAAATCAAAATACAACACGCAGTTACCACTTCCTTTTTTCCATTTTCGCCACTCACTCTGGATCTGTAATTTGACTTCGAATTTTAAATTTAAAATAAAATAAAATATGCATTTATTTTGAAATAAATAACATCTTTTAGATTATTAAATCAATAAACCCAAAATTTAATTTTTTTAATATCGAAAGTCAATTTGAATGAATATATCTATCAATTGGACGGATACATGTTTCACATTTCTTTTTCTAATGCCCTTCTGATATTTGGATATTTCACATTCTGTTTAATCCCAAGAATAGAAATCCTTTTTAACCTTTTCTGGGTAAATCAACATTTAATCCTTTAATTCAGTAAAATTTCTGTTTTATTCATTGGCTTCTTCTTTTCATTTTACTCTTAAAACTCGATAACTCTCTTCAGTTTATTGTGGTGTCCTACTACTGGCAATCTTACCTTTGCTCTTGTTTCGACCCATATTTGCAAAAATTTCAACAATATGTTGAATTATAGGGTTTGGACACCTTTACAGGTGATTAAACATTCGTTATTATATAATTAAAAATATTTAGAATAAATTTTACTTTGCAATTTAATAAAAAATGTTTATAAACTTTTGTTTCCTTAAAATACTTATTTTAAATATTTTCCAAGTACAATGACATTTGAAATATGATAATCCTGTGCTAATTAGAAAGCGATGTTAGCAAAAGACAATGGCATGTGAATAAGTAATTATCAATAATAAATGTCTCATCTTCAAAAATTGGTCTATTTTTTCTATATATTTTACATTCGAATTCTTTTTAGATAAAAAGTACATACAAACTGAATTGAGATTAAATATTTTAATATTATCTACTATCAATTTAGGCCGAACTCCTTAAATAATATTAAAACCTTTAATATTATGAATAGGTAAATTAAATTAGTAAGATTATTTTTATAATATTTAATCTAAATAACCAATAATATTATCATTCATCAACCATTCGATAATAAATGTTCAAACACTACTGCAAACTACGTGTTTTGACCCGAAACTCTAGGAATAACAAATATCTCTTTAGCCATCAAGGTCGTTTGATTCGTGCGAGAGTAACAAGTATTAAATGCGAAAGAGTAAAAAATAATCACGTTATAGATGTTTAGCAATAGAATAGCATTTGAAACCCTGAAACATGTAGAAGTAAAACCAGGTTTGTTCAGCAGCCTAAAATGGGTCCAGAAATTAAGCAGTATTAAAAAGACCTGAATTTCCTCAAAGATGTGTCTTTTTTATTTGCTCCCACGTGGAGTAATGTAATCTTCACGGACATTTTCAATAAACATCACATGGAATACAGCAAAACCAATGGGATTTTTATATAAATATTTTCTGAAACCCAATGATGAATAGGACACAAGGAGTTACTGTCAAAGTCTTCCACTTATAAAGTTGATGGTGCTGTACTGGTGGACCGAAGAAGAAAGGCATGGCCGCAAGCATTGAATTCTTCTTCTGTGGTGTAGATAAATAAGAGTTTAATCGGTAGTTCTTCGTGACCTCGGAAGATACACTTAACTATTAATGTGGGGAAGTAGTTTAATCTAATAATTGATGGGCGTAGTTAACTTACATTTAACGAGAGCTACGGTGATTAATTAGGCCATAATCAGCCGTTCTTCGTGACCTCGGAAGATACACTGTTGATTCCGAAACCGCACAACTTCTTTTACACGAAGAGTACATATTTATGAACCCCAACCGGTCACTCATGCTCCTCGTTACCTTAGCTTCGGTCCACGGATTCCTTTCGGTCGCTTCATCACCGTCTTCCTTGGAACACTCGACCAACGCAGCGAAAAATGGATCCACTCGCCGGAAACTATCGGAAGCGCCGGCGGATGCTTTTTTCCTTGTTAACGCAACTTCGGAACTGTTGTTTTTTGAGGTCCGTAGGATTGTCGGCGGCGGCAATGGCAACAACTTCATGGAGTACTCCTTCTTGTTGTGGTTATGTAGATTCTTGGGGATCCCCGGCAAATGTTCCCAAGAGAATGGAACACCTGAAAATCGGAATGGAGTTCCGGGTCTGAGACATGAATCATCGGGAAAATACGAAGATGCCAGCGAAGACGATGACGATGAAAGTGAGGAAGAGGAATTAAACGAAGGATATTTGATCGCCAGAACTATGGGGTCACCGCATTCTTTTGCAGCCTTCTGGTGATGCCCGTTTTGAGTGGAGGAAAAACCCATAGCTTTAGAGAAAATGAAGGGAGATCGATTTGTGTTATCATGCGGTGTTCTTTTGTAGGCTTCCTCTTATTTATTGTTTTATTTCTTCGACCCTGCGTGGATATTAAAAATCATTATTATTATGGCATGGGATTTGGATAATAGGGTACTGCTATAAAAATGTCTTCTTGTTAAGAGAGACTAAGGCGGTGTTTATTTTTACAGAGTTAAAAGGTCTGCAGTCTGTAGATTACATCTCCAGGTATCTGCAGCAGAAGAGGTGAATTAAAAGTCTGCAGTCTGCAAGAAGAAGACTGTTTGTTTTTTAATGTCTACAGACTGTTAAAATAAACTGTTTTTTTTAAACTTAAAAGAGTTTTACAATACTGAGATTTAAATAATTTTAGTTTTACAATACTGAAATTTAAATAATTCATACAACTATAAATAATAAATTTTTTTAGAAAAACAAACATCACGTTATTATAAGTATCACATAATCACATGTATTATTAGTTTTATAAGTTTTATAGAAAAAAATTTATAAATAATCATTAAATTATATGATTTTTTAAATATTAAATTATCTAAAATTATATAATAATATTAAATTTTGAATTTTATTATCATATGGCACAACAACATTAATTATCATTAAACTATTATTAATCAATCAACATTAATTATCATTAAACTATTATTAATCAATGAATCATACACCTCTCTTTTTTTAAACATTAATTATCATTAAACTATTATTAAATATGCAATTATGTAATACTTTTAATTTTTTTTTAAATATATATTCATAATTTATTTTTATAATTATATGATATTTTTAGAAAATATTTTTTAATTTATCAAATTATTTTATGATTATTTTTTATTTAATTGTGATTATATTTTAAAATTTAAAAAACATAATTTATAATTTTTTATATTTTAAAATCTTAATTATCAAACAATTAAATCATTTTTTATTAAGTAATGTGGTTTAAATACTTACATTTCGTATAAAAAGTTTAATATAATTTAAAAATAACAAATTCAAAAAATATTATATTTAAACTTAAATCAAAATAAATATAAATTTTTAATAATATATAAAATAATTTATATGATATAAAATTAAATATCTATAATATAATATTAAAAATTAATATTTAATTTATTTTAAAAATTAATATTAATATCTATAATATAATATTAAAAAAATAATATTTAATTTATTTAAAAAATTAATATTAAAATTAATATCTATAATATAAAATTAAAATATAAAACCTCTTTGAAGAGGTTTTAAGACCTTTGAAGACATAAAACCATGTCTGCACCAAGAAGAGCTCGCGCAGATGTTAGAAGAGCTTCCGTCTTCTAAAAAACAAACGGTCTGCGAAACCAATGTTTACGCGGCGCAGACATAAGAGCTTTGTAGACCTTACACAGTAAAAACAAACACCACCTAAGAGTATCTCAATAAAAAAGGGTAAAATATAGTAAAGGTCATTGAACTTTTCTAAAGCTTTCATTTAGGTCCACTAACTTTTAAAACTTGTAATACAGTCCTCCAACATTTAGTCCATTTGCAATATGGTCCCCGTCATTACACTGTGGTTAGTACGTTTGCAATATGGTCATTGAACTTTTCAGGCGCTTACATTTAGGTCCCCCAACTTTTAAAACTTGCAACACAATCCTCAATTTTATTCTAAACCTCAAATTCCTTTTCGATCTCGAATTTCCTTTTTTGCTTCTCTCTTCTCATTTCCATTGTAACTTTTTAGTCAGGGATGCATGGGAAATTATGATCTAACTTTGAATTATGTGGAGGTCTTGACTTGAATAAGGGTCCATTGAGAGAAAACCCGACCAAGGAATCATCAGGACCATCAACGATTCAAGGTGTAATGTTAGATACATGTCATCTCAGGTGAAGCATAGATGTTCGATGAAATGCTTGTGAGAAAAAATGGGGTTGGAAATGCAGAGTTCAAATACTACTAAGATGAACTAAGTATCATTGTTGAAAATCACTAACAAAGCTGGAATTATTTTGTATAAATGGCATATAATAATTTATTCGTTTAATCCTTGTGGTTAAAGATTTTCCAATAGATGATCAAATATAATCAAATCCCAAACAACGCATTCACCTCTCAGTTTCTTTCACAACTCGAAAAGCATCATGGCAGGGTCAAGTAGCTGCTTCAAATATACTACCCTGTCATGATGTCTTTTGAGTTGTGTGCATACAGAATTGTCTTCTAAAGCTATAATTCAATACAATTCAACTGTAAAATTTCCAAAACATGTAAAATAATCTAATTTGTTCACGATATATCAGTCCCATAATCAACATGAACTTATTAAAAAGAATACGAGCTCACAAGATGCCAAAAACCATAGGTCGGATCAATACAATTCCCAGTAAACTAGTACAAGCAGTCTCTCGGATTGAGCCTGGCGATTTTACTATGTCGATACTCACAACCAATTCCCTGATTTAAAGAAAAACCAAACAAGAAGATAAAAAAAATTAGCTTGGAATCCTCTTTCACTTTTATTCTGATGGACTGAATATCTTTCATAAGGAGTACTAAAAGCTTTGATTAAGAAGAAAGAAAGAAAATTAGATGGTTTTGGTTCAAAACTAGCACTGAATATCCATATCATTGACATGCAGTTCCAGAAATATAAAAATTTCAACAAAAAATACACAATGAGAGCTGAAAATGAGAAAGTGCGAAAGAGGAAAAGCTTACTTCCGAATAGCCTAAAAGAGAAAATAAATACCTTCTTGAAAGTGAGGGGAGAGACTAAGAAATAAGCGCAATCAGTGTTGCGTTCCAGCAATTATTCCTCCATTTTTTTCTTTGTAAATAAAAAGCTGAAATACAGAGCATTGATTGGGTTTACAATTTTACATGGTAGAAAATTGAAGAACAAAAACCAAACAAGAGTGCATGTGAGTAAAAGAGACTAAGAGGTGAATGCACTATTTGGGATTTCATTATAATTGATCATATGTTGGAAAATCTTTAACCACAAGGATCAAACGAAGATATTATTATATGTCATTTATATAAAATAATTCCAGTTTTGTTGGTGACTTTCAACAATGATACTTAGTTCATCTTAATAGTATTTGTCAACTCTGCATTTCTAACTGCATTTGTTTCTCACAAGCATTTCATCGATCATCTATGCTTCACCTGAGATGACCTGTATCTAACATTACACCTTGAATCGTTGATGGTCATGACAGTCCCTTGGTCGGGTATTCTCTCAATGGACCCTTATTCAAGTCAACACATCCACATAATTCAAAGTTTATAATGAAATTGAGGACTGTGTTGCAAGTTTTAAAAGTTGGGGGACCTAAATGCAAGCGCCTAAAAAGTTCAGTGATCACATTGCAAATGTTCTAACGGCAGTGTAACGGCGGGGGACCATATAACAAATGAACTAAATGTTGGAGGATTGTATTGCAAGTTTTAAAAGTTGAGAGACCTAAATGAAAGCTTTAGAAAAGTTCAGTGATCATTACTATACTTTACCTTAAAAATTGAATTTGAAATGTATAAATAGTTGAATAATTATTTTTGTAGTTTTTTAACGATTAATGATTTAATAAAGCAATTTGTTATAATTAAAAAAATATTTTATAACTTTTAATAGTTAAGGGACATAATAACACATCTATATTTTCATCATGTTGCTTGAGTTGGGAATCATGTGGCTGATATGCTTACTAAGGTAGCGTCTGCTGCTGACTTCACTGTCCAGTGCTGGAGTAATCCTTCCTTTGAAGTTCAGTCTCTTTCTCAAGAGGACATGGTAATTCCATGTTAAATCTTTGCTTTATTTGTTGTTTACCGGTTGGTTATTGATTTCTTTTTTCTCTTAGATTTATTATTTATATTATTTTCCCTTAATTAGGTTTTAGAGTTTTTTAACGAGGTACTGGTCTCTCTTTATATATGATCTTATTGTTATCATATTACTTTTATAAAAAAAATATATAAGTACATAAAAATATTTATTTTAACTATAATATTGATATAGAACAAGAATGTTATAAACTTTTTTATTTTTTAATTTCTGTAGCAAAATAAAAAATAATACTTTATATAAATTTTATAATTTATGGTAAAGTATACTAATAGTCACCACATGATGTTTTATTGATTTTATCAACTACTAAAAGCTATAAAATGGTCTCCCGACCATAAGACATTATTGAGTTTATGATAAAGTATATCAATTCTCTATTTACACTATATCGTCAAGTCATACTTGAAATATTATATCGTCGAGTCAGTGTTTGAAAACAATGGTGATGTCAACAGACACTATTAAAATAAGATTTTATCATATCCAAATTAACAGATTAACATCCATCTCTGACAACCGTTAATTTTTTAATAAAAAATATAAATATTTTATAACTTTTAATAATTAAATGAATCTATAAAAAAACCCTATAATCGATCAACATTTTTTTGTACTTTATTCTATAATTTATTCAGTTGTTATTTTCTTTATTGACAGCCGACAAAATAGAATTAAATTGTAGTGGCGTTAATAACCCCACATTTCATCGAATTGGTTGAGGGATGGTCCAGGGATTTGAGTCCAACGGACCCTAACCCATGCGGTGTTAAATCAATATTAATTTGTAATACGTGTAATGTTTAAGCTTTTATATTTGTTAATTTAGTAATTACTTTTTCCTTTCATGTGAAATTTCTCCAATTTAAAATATTATTTATAAATATCATATAATTTTTATTTTTTAATTATAAGAAATACTCCATTCATCCCATATAAGTTGTTCTTTACTTCTTTATTGATTTTTTTATCAATTTTTTTAAATTTTGATTCATTATTATTTAAAATTTATTATTGATAAAAATATAAAAAATATTTTTAAAACCTTTAATCAAATAATTCTGAAAATATATTTTATTAAAATTTAATTTTTAAATTATTTAATATAATAGTTATCAAAATTTAAAAAATTTTAATTTTAAAAAATCAATGAAAGACGGGTTTAGTAAAGACGAAT